AAACCAAGTACATGGAGGGAAAGTATCCACTGAGGTGATAATTATATTATACAGAACATGCCTGTTTACGGCATTGATTACAATGAGCTCAAAGGTGAGTTTTAATGAAAGGAGGGAGACCCTGTGTGTGTGTGTAATACCGAACAAATGTAAGTCTAACCATATAAAGTTTGTTTTTGTTTTTACTTTATTGAGTTATTTTTCACAGTTAGTCTTCAATCAAGGACACACATTAGGTCTGGGGCTGATTGTGGCTGTGCCATCCTGCTATTTGTGTTCCTTAATGACTTTCTAATTCCTCATCAGTGGGTAGCTAGCCTCCACAGCAGGCAGACAGAGAGCAGTGGCAGGGTGCCATCCAAGAACAGGTGCTCTTCCATGTTGTGCTTATGGTGTCTGTAGGCCTCAATTACATCTTTCAGGTTGCTCTTAAATCGGGAGTATTTCAGTGGGCACGGTGCTTTCACTTCAAGAGGCACTTTTTATTCGATTTTCTTTTTTTTTTTTACGATTGTACCTGTAAGTGCTAAGCTGATAACTTGGCTGGTGTTTGTTTTTAATGCGGTGGCAAAGTTAGCAGGCGACAAAACCAACACTGTGAAGAAGCAATTAACAGGAGGCGCAGTACTTGGACTGTCGTCACTTGTATTCTATTTTGACCTTTGACAAAGTGTTGGTGTGAGCTTTAGTGCTTCTGAAAACGTCTTCCGTTTTGCTATCCCAAGGTAAACTTGTTTTGTTAGGCTGGTGATTAGGAACCGTCATGAACCAGTGCCAGGGGAGAGCAAGGCCTTGTTGAGTCAGCTGTCTTTTTTGAGCACTAATAAAACAATAATCAATAATAAAAATTTTATAAGGGACATATACAGTATTCACAAAAGGAAAAAATGTTAAGAAAGAAATTTATCTTTCACTTGAAATCCAATATTCCTTAATGTACTGTAAGTACAACAAGTATATACACCATACCTTGGTCATCGTCACTTCCTAAACTACTATTCGCTTTGGAATGTTCTCGATTAGTTCTGTCAATATTTAGGAGACGTTGAGCTTACTGTCAGTTGCTATAAATCAATACCCTAACTGAATTTCTTGTTTGCAGAAAAGATAAGCATCAAAGACACTATGATCACCTGGAGATGAGACAGGACAAGGACCAACTACTGTACTTTTTATATCTGTACGTTGCATGATTCCCTTCACAGTGCACCAGTTCAAACGTTTGGAAATTCAGAAATCATCCTACACTGTTGCACTTCCCAACATTTCTTTTTTTTTTTACCTAAATGCTCATTGATGTTGTAACAACTTAAACACATCCTACTACTATGTGTCAATAAACAGTGCAATAGCTCCTTAATCACAAGGCGGACACTACAACCTGTACTGCAAGTGAGGGTTTCGTCTTGTTTGCAGGAAGGATTGACTTGAAAAACAAGAGACCTAGATCAACTGATGGTGAAGACAAATCTCATTCTTTAACTGTTCTTTAACCATTCCTCAAATTTCCCCTCAAGGTTGTGAGACTACCACACACGTGATCATCTGTTGGCACTGAAAAAAACCAAGTTATTGAACGTTTAAACATTTATTGAAGTAGTGGCTGTATTTGTCATGTTTCCAGCAGGGTAGCATCATTCTGCTTTATAATAGTAAAAAAAAAGTAAAACACAGCATATTTCACAGGTGGCAAAGACAACATACTTTCACTTGGTGAGAAAATCATTGCATAAATATTACCTTTTTTGACTGGTTACTTCTCATTTCTCTTATTCTTGACCATCCTGTGTTCCTTTTCAAAATGCCACACAAAGGTAACTAAGGTTCTATTGGTAGTAAAAAAAAAAAAAAAAGGGTTAGCATTCATATGTGTGGAATTGTCAGTATCTCATAAATTGACAAGAATGATCTTTAAGAAATCCAGTAAAAAAATTGTCGAGCCCCTGCAGGAAATAGCTGACATGTAATCAATGTCCACTCCTGACTGGTCAGAACACTGAGAGCTCACACACTCTGCCAGGCCTCCTCTGATCTAACCCTGAAGGAGAGAACACTTTCATATCAATACCCTGTCATCTCACAATGTGGCATCTTCCCCTTTGAAGGTACAGTGGTATTGTTGCCGTTGCTCAGATGTGCGACTCGAGCTTTTATCATCCTGTTTTGGGCAAGGAGGAGAAGAGTGGGAGATGAAGGAAGTGATTTCTTTTTAACTTAGAACCACCAAAGTGGAAAGAAATAGCATGTTGACAGGTGTGTGAAAGGAGCACTGCTGGGGCAAGTGGGGGAACATCAGAGACCAGTTTAGAAGGCTTGATGAAGTTTCTCTGAATAGAAGGTGCAGTGGGCTCTCAGGCAGCAGGCAAGCAACCCTCGGCGCTTACAAAATCGGAAACTAACACTGACGGCTACTTCCTTTGAATTCCTGCACACGCTTTGACAGTGGGTTATTGCTTTTGCAAAATAATGGGATTTAAATTTAGGCTCGCTGACACCGGTGCCACTCCCCACCCCCCAAAGATCCTCCACCCAGAGATATTTGCTCCTTGTCCTGAATTACCAGCCAGCTGTAGACTACAAGTCCCACTCCACAGCAGGTGGATCACTCCTCCCATTTGCCTTGGCATGGTGCCGACTACAAATGTGAGATCAGTGGTCGTCAAGAAGCCCAGTTGGGACGAGAACCTCTGTCACTCACGGCGACACATGTCATAAACTCATTGTCTTGCCATTAATCTGGGGACCTAACCACCTCAAAGGCAGATGGAGACCCAGCAGGAAGACAGGGGGCCATGCCCCGAGTCTGTGGCCCACACAGAGTGCACGTGGCAGGAGTAAAAAGGGGCCACCACTATAGGGGAGCCCCTCACCCTAGATTGGACCTCCTGTGGAGACACCTCTGGATAAGGTCCTAATGTTGCCCGTGATTAATTAGAGATAAATGTAAGTACCCCATGTTTGTGCAATAGGAATAAGGACCAACTTTGATTTTGTCCAATTAGAAAATAATTTAAATGTTTTTGTTTCATTTTGACATTTTTTTTTCTTGTGTGTCCGTGCTATGAGCTATAAAAACTTCATAACTACGTAACTCAGCATGTCTACAGACGTAGTGAAAATTGCCCACATTTAGGAACGAAGATAATAATAAATTGGTTTGCAGGGGATAAGGATAATTTGCCATTTTTAATCTGTAATGATATTCACAGAGGGACCACCTTCTGAGGTCGTAGAAAAACTGTTTCTTAGCAACATGGTATATGATCTTGCAAGATTAATGTTAACAAAATTTTGACTGACGCTGAAATCCACACACTTGACAAGTGTGAACCGGGCCGTTTTGTCAGTGTGCTCCCTGTGGTTGAGTATGTGGCTGTCTCGTCTGGCCCAGATCCCACTCCCGCACATACTTCATATCAACAACCTCTTAAAGAAAATACATGTTTTCCATCAACTGATAAACCAAAAGTCATCACATTGTGATTTGAAAAAAATTGTAAAAAAATGATGAGTGCAAAAAGAGGTTTGTTTAAATTCAACCCAAATATAAATTATATTACTATTTTACAACACACTGCAAAATGTTGAGACAATTCCAATTTATTTTTCCATTAGTACTGACAATATTGAGACCCTTTTAACCTATTAAAAAATCAGGGCAAAATGCACTGTAAAGAAAACAGCTTTGAAACATTCTTATAGTTTATTCAGCCCAACCACGTGATGCAAAATGCTATGACACACTTTTTAAATGACTCTGTATTCCTTAAATAAAAAAAAACAATCGATGGAGCTAGATGAAATTATTATAAGCAGGTGACATAACCCAACAATAAGTAATATTTTTAAATTACACAATATTTTATTAGAACAAAAACAAAAATCTAGATTATGGCTCTAGTTTTTCCTTACAACTACATCATTAGAAATATTTATCACAACGTCACTGCTGTTATCTGGTCCTAAAATCAATGATGACAAATATAATTATTCGACATCCGCATTTTAATTTCCTT